CAAGTTAATTCACTGCAAGGCAAATTCAGTACCTAAAGGGCCCCCATGTTAAATACAGCACTGACCTTTACCGGCTGATTACACAAAGACGACACAATTAGATTAGTCCAAGACAAAAGGTCAAGCACATTCACACTGTGACCATTTTTTGCTACCTTTTGAGGGGGGGGGCAGAAATTACATCCCAGCTGGAGGGATATTTTGGAGAGGAGGAGAATGGGGCTGCTGTACCATGTTCTGCCTGGTTCAGATATCTTTGTAGGGTCAGGCAGGGCCCGTCACTGGTGCTTGCCCTGAACCTTTCCTGCGGTTGTTGGGCAATGTGGTGGTGGGAGAGATCAACAGCCTGCAGCCCACAGCCGGCTTTTCCAAGGATAGGCTGAGCTGAGTGGAGGTCATGTCCTGGTGATGCTCCCTGCCATGCCCAGAGCCAGCAGGAGCTGTTGTGGTACCTCTCGCGCAGCATCATGGCTGAAAATTGGCCTCTGGAAGGTCGGTGGGCCGGGTCAGGGCTGAGAAGGGGGGGTGGCTGGGGCAGTCGCTGGCTGTTTGAGTGGTGGGGTGCTGGCAGGTGTCCCCACCCCACCCAGCGGTTGCCCCGAGGTGCCCCAGGCGCTGGTGCGGTGGGGACAGTGGGGCTGGACAGGGCACTGGGGAAGCAGCCTCTGCGAGCACAGCGCTTTGGCCCTGCCCTGGGGCACCTGTGGTGGGGCAGCAGTGTGGGGGTGGGAACAAGCAGCTCCAGAGGGCAAGCACAGCTGTGCTCTGTGGTGGCCATTCCCTCTCTCCTCACCTCCTGCGGCTTGCAGGTGACACCTGCCCTTCCCCTTGCGGAGGTGGCTGAGAGGTTTAACCCTGCCACGCCAGCCTTGAGCTCCCGAGTTCAAGCCTGTGCTTTGCCACTGAGCTGCCGGGGCCTTTGGGGGAATCATTTAATCTCCCCGCTTCAAATTCCTCTGAGTTGGAGAATCCCTCTGTGCTGTCTAGCACTGCCTGTCCACGGCACTCTACGTGTTGGATTAAGCGTGGATTAGTTCAGCCTCCAAACCAGCTGCTCCCCTGAAGCCAGGTTTGTTCCCCTGGACAGAAGTATCTTGCTCCAGATGTTGGAGGGAGCGAGTGGCAAAGCTGGGAATAGGACTGACTCCTGAACCCTGTCCGACATGCCTGGATTCATTTCCAGGAATTGGAATGGATGGGCAAAGGCACACCAGGCTCTTTTGAGAACTGTCAACAACCGTCTGCCACCACCCCCCTTGGCCAGCAGTGGGGATGGGGGACATGGCAGCAGGGAGTGTTAGCCCAGCCTGGGAGAGGCATCTGCTTGTGTCAGCAGTGAGAGCCCTTGGGGCAGCGGGGAGCCCAGCACTGTCCTGCCCCACTGTGTGCACCACTTCTCCCCTGCCCTGGCTGCCTGTCCACCCCCTCCCAGGGGCTGCAGTGCCCATTGCTGACCATTAAAGCGGAGCTGGGATCCCCCCAGTGCTGTTTGAGGCTGACCCCGGTAGGGACTTTACTCGGGGCCTTCGGGAGGTGAAAGGTGAGCCGAACTCGGAACAAATTAGTTCCAAGCAGAAGTTCAGCCAGTTACTCCAGATTGGATCCTTTGATTTCCGCAACTCAGACTCCACTCAGTGATCTGTAATGAGTGACTCTCAGAAATCCTCACATTGCAGCACTTTGTTCCTGAGCTCACAAGTCAGCCCATTAATGGGTAAAGGAAAGGACCTTGAGTCTAAGAAGTCTCGGGTTCAGAGTCAGAATTATTTGACTTTTAAGCTTCCTTTATCTGAACTCCTGCTGACTTCTTGTTTTCTGAGCCTGTTTGAAAGCTAGAAGTTACATTGTTAAGATCAAACGTTCTCTCTTTCCAGATGGAGTTACAATATCTGTCTTTTATATATATATATTTTAATATATATAGTGTATATATACCAGGGTGTATATATATTCCTCTCTTTTTTTTAATCGTTCTTTCCATTAAAAGAAACTAGACTTGTAAGCTCTTGTAAATTATAATGTAAAACATTTTTTTTAACCAGACAGTTCCCAATTTTGCCCGAGGCAACTGGAATAGCTGTGCCACGGAAGGCAATAGGAAGGTGATTAATATGAATTTGTGACATATTTGAAAGATGGGTCTTTTGCCATATAAAGATTATCAAACACATGTGCTCTTCCCCATTAATTCCGCAGCCCTCCCAGGAAAGCCACAAAGCCCAGCTCCTTTGTTTCCAGGGTGGGTTTTTGTTTTTTTAAATGTACCTTTCGGTCCCCTTGATTACCCTGTATTTGATTTTTATAGGGCATCTGCTCACTCTGCTGTGTGGGTTCTCTGGCCCTTTTATTTCCCTGTTAATCGGATCCCGCGAAGGCAGCGGTGCCAGGGCCTCTGACGAAATCCGTGTGTGTGTTGTATTTAACTTTTAGCCGTGCAAATTCCATGCTCTGTTTGCCGTCTGCCCGGCGGGAACTGGGGGCCGCTTCCCGCCGGGGGAGGCAGCGGGGCCTCCCACGACGACGAGCGCTGCCGCGGGGGGCAAACGCGTGCGGGACCGGCAGGGCTGGAGGAGCAGGGACGGGCAGGCCTGGCTCGTCAGGAGGGCAGATCGGTGCTTGTCCTTCCCTGTGTGTTTGCTGGCCAGGCCAGTGGCTCTGCAGGCTTTGGGGACAGGGGATGGCTGCAGGGCTGGGCATGGCAGGGACCTGACCAGAGTCACCGTGCTGCTGCAGTGCTGGCCTCTGCCACTGCCTGCGCTGCCCTGTGCAGAGCGGGCTCGGTCTCGTGCTGTGCCGTGGGGACCCCTGGGCCTTGGCACCTTGTGTCCCCAGGCACGGGGTACCTGGTGCTTCTGCCACACCTGGGGCACCCCCCTCACAGAGCCCAGCTTTGGGTGCTGACCCTGCCACGGCCGTGGCCAGAGCTGTGCAGTGCCTGGCACGGTCTCACCACAGTGTTAGGGACGTGCCTGGGGTTCCATCTTGTTTGGTGCAAATTGCTCCGGCTTTCCTAGGCTGGGTTCAGCCCTGAAACCTCTGAAGGGGAGGCTCCCTGGAGCTCGACAGCCACACTCAGGTGTATCAGTGCCCAGAAGAGGGTTTTTTTCTTGAGGAGCTGTGGTTCTCTGACAACCTCCTGCTCTGCTCCTGGGCCACATCGTGGCAGGTCTGGATGGCAGAGGAGGGTTTCCAGGCTGTGCCCTGTCCCATGCAGAGCATCCCTGGCACAGCTGGCCCTAGCACAGAGCTGTTCTGCCCCTTTCTCAAGGGCCTGCTCCTTAGGGCTTGGTGCCTGCCAGCTTGCTTGGTCAGGGCTCCTGAGGCCACTGAGTTGTGGCAGAGCTCAACCCCTTTCTCCTGACTATCCCAAAGCCCTGTCCATGTCAGGGAGGTGACAATCCCTATGAGGGTGCCATCCCAGCCCCGTGTCACTGCTGGATGTTGGCTCTGCCCCTCTTGTCATGCAAGGACCTGCCTCTGCCTTCAGCTGGGCAGTGTGGTCCACTGGGCACTGCCCAGAGTGCTGCTGGAGCCCTGGAGTTGGCTCTGGGACAGGTGGGTGTGCTTGCACGACCCAGGGACTCCCACCTGCTGACCCTGTTTTTTCTTTTGTTTCCTGTCTCTGTCTTGGTGCAGAGAAAGTGAAAGGAGTTGGCCTCCAGCTCCTCCTCTGTCAAGAAGGTGAAGAAACCATGAGCCCCCTGTGCAGGGTGAGGAGGAGGTGTGGAGCTGTGTGCAGGGGAAGTGCCAGCTGTCCCAGAACCCTGGGGCCTTGCTGGGACTAACACAGCAGTGCTCCAGAGGAAAATGGGCTCAGCACCATGTCCCCAACCCCATCTGACCTCCAGTGGTGGGGGGCTCCTTCCAGCATCCCACGTGCCCAGCCCTTGTGCAGCTGCTCACCTCCGGCAGTTGTTGCATGCCTGACACCTACACCTTGCTTGGGTGTGGGGATGCCCCTACTGGAAACACTCCTGCTGTCCCCCCACTGTCAGGACAGTCCCTCCTCCTGCTGCCCTGCCCAAGGGTTCAGTCTGTGGTGAGAGGGGCCACTGGTCACTGTGCCTCACGTTTTGCCGGGCTTTGGAGGGGCTGAGGCATCGTGGTGGGAGCCCTGGCACGAGCAGCCCTGGCTGCGTGCCCTGCTCCGCACTGCTGCCCACCCCATGTCCCTTCCACCTGCCTTTCAAGTGTGACTGGCCATCGATCCACCCTGACAATGTCCTTTGAGTCACATTCTTGCCTGCAGGAGTAAAGGGCAAAGGCCAAGTTCTTAGTTTTCATAAAAAACTAATTAGACGACTCCATCGAAAATGGGTCAATAAAGCTGATCGGGGGCTGCAGAGGGAGCCAGTAAAGCCCCCGCGACCTTTGCATGGAACAAGTGGCTGCCCCTTCCCTCCGGGAGCTGCCCACTTGGTGCCAGCTGTGACCTGTCACCCGGTGGCACCCTGGTGCCAGGCAGGTCTCTTGGGCACCTGGAAATAGGGGCTGTTCTTGCCCAGCTGGGTGTGGCTCCCACATTCCCTGGTGCTGCGCTCGTGCTGGCTCTGCTGGCTGGGGCAGAGCGGGTGCCCCAGCGCCCCGGGCAGTGCCACGCTGGCTCCAGCCTGTAGCCAAAATGCTCCAAGTGCAGCAGTGGCTGTGTGGGAATGGTTTGCCAGGCTGCAGGGTGGCGGCACAGGTGCCAGGGGGACGTGGTAGCGGCTGTCACACCTGTGGGTGTGGCCCAGCTGTGACAGGGCAAAGCTGCCTTGGGGCACAAGCAAAACCAAGGTGGTGGTGGGGCCACTGCCCACCCACAGTGCCCATGCCAGAGAGCAGGGCAGTGTTCCCAGCACAAGGGAACCTCGACTGCCCTTTCATACTCAAAATCCTTGCCTTTCCGGGGAGCATGGACGTGCCATATGCCAGGGAGCACCCTGCTCCCACCTGCCCGGGCGGCACACCCCTGCCTCTGCCCCCATACAAACTCACACATGCATGGGCACAGCCCGGGCTCCTTTACCCCCAAACTTTATTCATGTGGCACATTTACAGCAAGGATTGGAATAACTAGACAATGAAAATGCTGGGGTTGCATTATCGGTTGGTTTAACTGGAACACCACACACCATGCAGTCATGTACCGCCAAGTTCAGTGCCTGTATTGCCCTTCTGGCTGCCGTCACCGGCTTCGCTCCAGGCCATGCACGCACGGGCCCGGGGCTGCAGCCTCCCTGCAGGTCAGCGCCCGGACGAGGGCTCCGTTCAGCAGGGCCCCGGGGCTGGGTGACTCCGAGGGGACGTTCGCCCTCAGCCCGCCCCGTGGCCGCCCCCCAACCGCCCTGGCCGGCCGGGAGCGCACCCGGCCGGAGGGGATGTGCTCGGCAACTCTCTCAGGCAACAAGCCAGCTGCTGCTGAGCGTCCGCGGGGACCTGTGAGGGGCACAGCACATGGGGGTGCCGAGCCTCGGCTCGGGAACCGAGGGAGGTCGGGGGGGAGCGCGCTCGGGGCCGGGGGGGATCTGCAGCTCCCCCGCCCGGGCACCCGCGGGCCGGGCCCAGCGCCGCGGGCGCGTCCACCGCCCGCAACGGACGCGGGGCTGGCCGGGCCCGTCCCCGCTGGAGCTGGAACTGAGGGGCGGGGACGGGGCAGGGCCGGGCATCCCACCCAGCCCCGCAAGAGGCACGAGCAGACGGAACGGGGACCGGACGGGGCTCCATGCGGACACTGTCACCTCCCTCCTGCCGCCCGCCCGCCCGCCGGGCCCCCGCCCCACTGAAGGGAGCCCTCTGGGGCCCCGCAGCCCGCGGTGGGGCTGCCAGGGGCTCTGCAGCGGAGAATACAGGCACTTCACCTTGAACATAAAGAGACGGATCGCGTTTGTCACATACAGGAGTCAGAGAGGGGTTAGTGTTGACTCAAAAAGGGGAAAAGGCGCTCAGGGGAGAGGCGGGGGGGCTGGCGGAGAGGGCGAGGGGCCGTCTCGACACGCTGAGCCTCCGTGAGCGCTGCCCGAGTGCAGGCACACACCGGCCTTGCTGCAGCAGCCATCGAGGCCTGAAAACATAAAACCAGAGAAGAGAAAGAAGAAGGAAAGGTGGGTACGGCCCATGCCGGGGTGGAGATGGGGGATGCTCTGGCTACGGGGCGGGAGAGGGAGGACGGGGTGGGATATGGAGGGAGGGACGGAAATCAGGAGCCAAAGAAAAAGAACAAACTACGAGTCTAAAATGTGGTGCAAGCGCCCTACGCGGCTGTCCGCTAGCATGGCATAATGTCCGGAGCAGCCCAGAGAGGGAGTCACATCAGGTCTACACAGATTTGCCTTCCCATATATACAACCTCTACTGGAGTTAACAGCTGAAATTGAGATTTTTTTTGTGTCGGTTCCTCTGGCCTCGGTTGCCGTTTTTTTTTTAATGCTGGAGCCCGTCCTCCCCGCCTCGCCGGCGCCGGGCGCATGCAGCCCTTGCCTGGCTTGCCTTGGGGATCAAAAGGGTTTGGAGGTCTGCTTGAAGATGAAGCCTCTATGGGCCAGTGTCTTCATGATGTTGGCGATGTTCTTACAGTCATCTGCAGAGAAAGCACACAGATACTGGGTTAGAGACACAATCCAAGCAGGAGTTGTTGGATCGATCCCTTAATCCCACGCTGGGGCTGTGTCCCCACCAGTCCAGGCACTCTCTCCCAAGGACCTTGCAGTGATATGAGGTGATTTCAGAGTCTCCAGCTCACCAGCACTGGACATCTACATCCCGGCATGACCCAGAGCTGCTCTGAGATGGATCCATGTCCAGGACCTGGAGGTCAGGGTCATCCCTGTTCCCAGCAGAGCCAGCCCGTGGTGCTGTCCCAGGCCCACTGACCACAGGGTGACGAGTGGCAGGTGGTCGGGACAAGCAAGCCACAGGCACTCCCAGTGTCAGGCCGTGGCAAAGCAGCAAGGAGGGAAGGGGGAAGGCTCTGGATGGTGTTATTTACCTGGGACTAAACTCAGGCACCGTTTGCTAAAATAGAAGCCGGGCTTAAATTGATTCCTAGTGTCTATATTTCATGTTGAAAATTGGCTTGTAAATCCATGTTTTGATCTATGAGGGCCGTCTCCTTAAGAAAAAGCAAGAGTAAATGTGTAATTTCTCCCTTGACAGCACACGGCGCAGAGGCGATCCTTCTTCCCGCTCCCCTCCGTTTCGGGACAGCTCCACTCGTTCCGATTACCACTCTTTCTTCCTCGCCCCACGCCTTGATGTCTCCATTTCATTACCGCCCGCCCATTTATCAAGCTGTTACCGTAAGGGTGACTTTGCCCACTTGCGTGTGGCAGCGGGGCCCGGCTGACACAGGGAGAGGGTGCCCCAGCAGGGGGGGGGCACAGGCAAGGCCCCCCTCTCCCCGCCACTGCTGGATGGATGTTGTGGTGGAGGAAAGGCTGCATCATTACTGATGTGTAAATGATAAAGAAGCCTCCACATCCATCTCCCAACTGTAAATCCAGGGAGTGCTTTATAATCAAGCTACAGCAATAATAATGTGAAATTAGGTCTCTCTATCAACGGGAGGAGGCCTTTTAATCACGGCTTAAAGGGTGCAAACGCTGTTTATCATAATTGAACTGTATCCGGGCTAATTGTGGCCATATTTCACTGTCTAGGAGACAGCAGGCTGCCTGCTGACAGTGCCGCGTGCCGGATTGAGGGCCCCCCGCAGCCGGGCAGCTCTGCCCTGCTGCCAGGAGCCTGCTGGCAGGGACAGGGCTGCCCAGCCTCCTGGACACTCCCTGACACACCAGCAGTGCTGCCCAGCCCCGCTGCATCCAGTGACCCACTGGCAAAGCCATCGCCTGTCCCCCAGCGTTGCTCGGAGGCGCAGGGGCTTCCCCCATGCACAGCTCCCTGAGAGGCTACCCTGAGCTGCCGGGGACTGTCCTGGCTGATGGTTGGCAGTGGAAGAGGTAATGTCCCCATCAGAGCCACGTGCCTCCCAAGTGTCCCCTCAGCCCTCTCATGGCATGCTGGTGTGCCAGGCAGGGGACAGGAGCTGCACATGAGAACAGCCCGAGGAAGGAGGGGTGTCCCCAGCCCACTGGCTGGCACAGGGGCAGAGATGAGCCTGTCTCTCTGTGCCTTTGTCCTCCCCGCTGCCCAAGGTGGCTCCTATGGCTGCAGAAGGGCCCTGGAGGTGACAGGTGTCCTGCCTGGCCAAGCCACAGCGCCAGCTCTCACTGCTGGCACTTCTTCCCACACAAGGGAGCCCCTCACTGTCCTTAGAACCGCCTGCTCCATCCATCTTGCCCCCCCAGACAGCTGAACCCCTTGGAACCAGCTGCCAGTGCGACCTAACAGGGTAACAGTGGCTCAAAAGCAGGGGAAACCGAGGCAGGGGGAGTGCAACTGTCCCACCCAGCCCGGTAGCCCCCAAAACGTAACAGAAAAGCAAATCCTGGCCTGTGAGCTATAGCAGGTGGGTGGCAAGGGAGCAGTTTGGATGTGAAAGGACAGGCCCAGACATCCCACTGCCCGACCTCCCTGCCTGCAGCATCGCCCCAAGCTGGAGTGGGCTGCTGGGGCTTGACTATTGCTCCATATTGCTGGAGGGGAAACTCCCCAGAGACCTGGGGAGCTGCCAGACTGGCAGTGAGACCCCCATGGCACCTCCTGGGACTCCTGAGCTGGTCCCTGGGGAGACCCTCTGGGACTGCTGGCCGCTTCCTGAACCCCATCAGCTGCCTCCCCAAAGCCCCAGTGTGCTCTGGTGCTGGGTGACAGTGGGACCCTGTTGGGGCAGTGCCAGCCACAGGGCTGTGCCAGCAGCACCGTCCTCGCCGTCCCAAACCATGCCATGGCCCCTGGCAGCGGGTGCGCCAAGCTCGTCGTAAGTCATTTAGTGAGACTCCTTCCAAATCAGTGCTAAGGTAAACACGCTTATTATAATTATCCATGTAAAAAAAAATCAACAACAGCAGAACAACTTTCTAATATGCAATTACAGCCATCTATTGATTTTACAATGTAATCCGCTCCGATTGATTTAATAACACAATTATAGGCTGGCTCTCGGGATATTAGAGTGGGAGATTTTCATAAACTCCAAAGCAAAAAACTAAGCGGCTTTTAAAACAACACAGTCAGATGGCTGTTTGGGGAATTATTAGCAATATGAAATCCTCTAAATCTGGCCGTCGTTACCTTGTGAAAGGAATTTCTATTACAAAAATGGCAATTGACAGCCTAAGAGAGCGCAAACGGGATTGCTCTGCTGCTTTTCAGTGCTTAATCCATCGCAAAGGTGACCACCGGGCGGGGGGATGAGTGGGGTCCGAGGCAGGCGGGAGGGCACAGGCAGCCCTGCCCACCCTGTGGACTCCCCCAGCCCAGCTCTCCCTGGGGTGCACGTGGCTGTGGCAGCGCTGCCCCAGCACCCAGACCGGCACCCACCAGCCCTGTCCCAACGGGATGACCCTGCCTGGGGCCGCAGAGGCTGGCAGGGTGCAGAACCCCCTCCTGATGCCCATCCCGGCACACCTGGCACGCCCCAGCCCCAGACACCTCCAGGGGCCACAGGGGTGCCCCGCTGTGTCCCGAGCCCGAGCAGGGGGCTGGGGTGAGGGTGGTCCCACGCTGCCGGCCGGTGCAGCTCTGCGGGTGCCGCACAGACTCGCGCGTGCACGCGCGCCCCCGCTCTCCTCCCACTCGCTCCCTCAATGTATTCCCGACTTTATGGGCACATTTTTCTTGTCAAGCTGACAGGGTTGCTAAGTGGATTTCTCCCTGATATGCGGACGGATTATCACATTACTCCAATGTCCTACACAAACATATTACTTTATATTCAATAGCCCTAATGAATATAAACTGCTTTTTCTTTTTTTGGGGTGGGGGGTAATCTATAGATTTTTAATGAGGGCACTATTAACTCCCTCCTCTTTAAAACAGACTTAGGTGCAGCCTCTTAGTAGAAAATCAATGGTGTTATTGTAGGAATATTGTATATTGATATTGTAATAATAAGATGCAATTGATTTAGGGGTGTTGTGTGGTGTGTGTGAAAGGGGTCAGCACGGGGTTATCCTGCCTCCTGTAAACGGAGTGGTGGCTCTGCCCTGCCTCCCTGCCCCTCACCTTGCTGTGCTGCTTCCAAGCACTGTCCCATGTCCCAGGATGGCCGGGGCTGAGTTTGCCCTGAGGTGCTGGGCCCTGGCTGCCTCTGGGACCCTCCTTTGGCCCAGCTGCCAGCATAGCGTGGGGTGACAAGACACCCCAGCCTCTCCTTGTCCTGACTGGCTTCGCCCACCAGGTTTTAAACCTCTGCAACATCACAGTGCCTCGAAACCCATGTCCTGACCCTCTCCACAGCTTGTGACAGACAAGGACAGAGGTGTGTGCATGTGCATGGGGCAGTGGGATGCTCTCTTAGGGCTGAAGTTTGCTGCCATTCAGCATCACTGGCTGCCCTTGTCCTTGTGGGGGGCAGATGTTCCCATCACACTCCTCTGCCAGGACGGAGGCAGAAACCCCTCAGCCCGTGCTCCTGGGCTGCCTGCCCAGCGAGTGCCCTCCCTGCAGCCACTTCGTAGCAGCACTGCTGTGAACCCAGGATGAGGGTTCCTTCAACCCAAGAGTCCGTGCTGCGGGACTGAACTGCCAGGAGCAGTGATGCTCACTCCGGGGAGAGCATCCTCTCCACACCCACTGGGAAGAAGGGCAGGGGCTGCTGCCCCATGCATGGCACCCTGCCAGCATTTCTCCCACCTCTCCCACGGGACCAAACCACCCAGACACCTCCAGCACGGAGGCTCAGGAGGCCGAGTGCTGCCACAACCGCCGTGCGCTGGGCCGAGATGCTCACGGAGCAAGGAGTGAGCTTTTCCATCCTGGCAGCTGCCCCGGCGGGCTGTGGGTGACTGGGGGACTGCAGGGCCCCCCCAGATGGGCTCATTTGGTGGCAGCCCCACTGCACCTGTGCTGTGGCCGGGAAGACGGATCACCCCCGGCCCAAGCTGAGCAGGTCCATATTTAAACTGTCCCCATGCTTTATGGGCTGTACAAGAACTGATGCTCAGGCGCCGAGGGGCCATTTGTCAATGTTCTAATGGCAGATTACTGTTAATGAATAATATCACCGCTGCCTTTGTATAACAGCTCCCTGCAAAGCGGAAACAGGGCCGCCAGGCCACCGCCGCCCTTTGCCTCCCCACTGCCGACCCCAGGTGACAGCAGGTGGCCTTGTGACCAGCGGGAGCCACACGGACCCCCCGCAGCCCAGCACTGCTGCTGCCGTCCCCAGCAATCACAAAAGGGAGTGCTGGGTGCCCACAGTGGGCTGTGCTGCTCCCCATGAGCAGGAATGTCCCCAGCAGGGGACAGCTGTCAGGGGCGAGAAGTGACAGTGTCTTCCCAGCATGCGGAGCCGGGCTCTTGCAGCTCCTCACCCTGCCCATACTGGAGCCAGGAGGGCGTTGTGTCCGATCTAAATCTACCCCCACCAGGACGCCAGCCATAGTGGTGGCAAGTATGTGTCAGAGCCCAGAGCTCCCAGCTCACAGGGATCCACAGGGACACTGGGGATGGTCCTGC